TCGTTTCTCGTCATATTCCGAAAATAAGGACTTTAGGAAAGTAGGTGGCATCCGTCAATCGTTTACACCCGATTATAATGCTAAAGGGATTTCTCCACTTAATCATCGGCTTACTATACCTCAGCCACGTTTGGGCCTTCGGAGACTAAATTTTGATTCGTTGATCTACAGCTCTATGATGGTACGACTTATAATTTAAATTCTCAATGTCAAATAAAGACTTATGTAATAAAAATTTCTGCTCATTCCGTACACTGTTGTAGCGCCTTACTGGCCTTTGGGTTGCTCGGGCTCTTCATAAAAAATCTCATATACTAATCGTCGCAAATCTTACACACATGACTTGTTTCACTACTTTCTGTTAATACTCCTCTTTTCCGGGCACAATTCGGTATATAATACTGTACACTTTCTTGGTTAGGGTTACGTTGTTCCCCCCCAGTGTAACCTTGCTCCGCTCGGCCGGGACCGCCCCTCCTCCGGGTCGTTCTGCCCTAAATATTTTCGTCGCCTCTTCTCTAAAGAGGAGAAGAGGAAACGGATTTTTTCTCCTCGCCTAGTGTCGGACAAACAGGACTGACTTGTTATAGTAGCGAACACTGGTTGCGGCGCGAAAAAATTTATTTCATGGGGTTCAACTTGAAAGTGTCTCTCGAGCGTAAATCAGAGGAAAATTTCCGAAGAGAGGGACCTGCCCTTCTTATTTGCTTCGTGTCAAATAGTGATGAAACTTTATATTCGGTTCAACAGTCAACAATTGGGAAGGTTCTTTGTACAACCGAATACGAAAGATCCAAAAAACTAATATTACTTGGGTTTAACGTTCGATCTAACATTGCGACGATTTAAAGATTACGTTGTCCTGAAAAAAAGTTGGTCGTCTGGTTTGTCTCGGACATGATGCTTCGGCCTATTCGCTCGGATTGAAGTCCCTTTTGAGCCCTAAAGTGCTTGTGCACAAGAATTTCTGGTTTTTCAGTATAAAAGAGCATTAAAACTGACGGCATGTTTAAACTACATTTCCCCATTAAAACATTGATTTTAATTTCTAACAGTAGTCAGCATGAGAAGCGTCAACTCAAAATAAAGCTTGTGATGATGTAGAAGTAGCTCAATGATGTGTGATGGATGCACCACTACCTCCAAAAACCGCAGGAAGATCTGCTTCACAGCACCAAATCCTGGGAGACTCAGAGCTGTTATGGTAATAGCCTTAAATAATATGCTTAACCAACTGCTGTTTATTATCTGACAGTTGCAAGTCATTTACATTTGTCAAATAAAGCCTAACTGAGAATGAAGTGAAGAAGTCAGGACCGTGTTTGACAGTTTTGAACAGAAAACAAATCACAAAGTCTTTTACTTGGCCCTTGGCAGAAGTAAACATGTTAGGATAGAGGAAAATAGAGTTTGGCAAGCACTTCAAACCTTAAGCAGATACAAAGCTGGTGCAAAATGTCAACTACTATATTTGTTTTAAAAGTGCCAGCACTGAGACTGATTGATGATTTTGGAAAAGCCTTTCTCACTTCTCTTTTACCCCTTTTTTAATTGACTATGTTTTTAAACGATGTGCCTGCATAAAGGGTGTGGAATGTGGAGTTTCTCGCGTATTAAATTGGTGATGCTACCAAAGCCATTCTGACTAATGTATAACAAGAATAAGAGCCAATCGAAATATAACTTATGTGTTTAATGTCATAGCAGAATATTCAAATATTTGTTCATGATTTTATTTATTTTGTGTCTTTGCATAATTTTACAAAGTATTCAGTGAGATAGTTTTCTGGCAGTCCATGTGATTTAAGCACTTGTTTATAAATAGACTAGAGATGCCACACTGAAAAACATATGTCTCTTTCTGGCGTGAGTTGGTGTATTAAAGAAGCAACAGATACCACAAAGTCACAGCCACAAATATTACATTTCTGTTTTTTGAGTCTGTGCTCAAGCTCAATGATAATGAGGTTAAAGTGTCAACTCTGAGATTTAATTGGATACTTTATACATACACATAAACAGCCCCACAATTTAAAGTGGAAAGAAATAATTGGGCAAGTTAACATAAAGTTACACAAAGTCATAGTACTCAATATTTAGTTTAGGCAGAAAATATGCAAAGTGTAATGAGGTATTTGACACTTACGGAGAGCAAAGATCAGCATGAAATTATTTGATTCTTACTTGTTTCCGGTCTTTTTGTAAAGTAAATACAACTCTTCCATCCTAAAAGCATCTTACGTTTTCACGTGTAACCGTTTCAATGGCTGTGTCTAGGACTTTGTGCTGCTACTTTTCCTCAAAATCAGACTCTACTATGCTATGTAGAAAGTTTGATCACACACCTACCGTAGGTTTGCACACCCAATTCACAAAGCATGGTTGAATTGACCTGTACACTATTTACAGGAGATTCAGCTCACATAAACCCCTTTTCCAACGAGGCAGTTCCAGTTTGAGCAGATGCCCAAGCAGATCCATTTTTGGGTTTCGCACTGCAGCGTCGCAGACTCTCAGAACTGAAAATAGTTCCACTGGAGTACCAACAGTCTGCCCAGTCATCTCCAAGAACGAAGATGTATGCAAGAAGCAACGGTTCATAGTGAAAGTAGAAAACTCTTGCAGAAGCAGCTGCGCCCAGATCCCAAAGTGGATAGAACGTGACCACACTTATGAACGTTGCACAACATTAACCAGGCATATGTGTGACATATTATTTATCATTCACCATACTTTGAATGATTCCCCATTTGATATCCTTGTGGTGGCCCTTTATGGCGAATAATTAATAAGCCATACTTCTGCCTTGTTTTGACACAATGGAGTTATATACATTGTGTTGCATTCTTATATCCAGCCATGTTTCACAAAAATTGGGTCAATAGTTTTTTGTAATCCCACAGACAGACAGACGAACGGAAAAACAAAAATTGCTATAAATCATGACCTTCTTAGCGTAGGTAATATCTTTTTTTAATATTATATTCAAAATAAACAATTGGGGATGACGAAGTCCTGTCGTGATTACTTGAATCAAACCAAATGAGTAATATGAATGTGGCAATGGCCATGCAAAATAAAGATGAATAGAAATGTTTGTTAATTGCATTGCTTTTCAGTCATTCAAAAACACAAATTACTTTTTTAGCTTACATCATTCAGGTGTCCCATTCTGGAGTAAGGTAACATGTCTTCTCGTACAGAGGTGGTATATGAGAAGCAAACATGTACATTTAGAGACAGAGCCCACTGCTACTGTGTCTAAAAAACCTTAAACTGCAATTGTGCCTAATTAATGGCAGATTCATATTACCCACAGTTGTACAGTTTGTCTGAACAGGTCACCCATGGTGAACATGTTGTACTTCCTTTTAGTGTCAGTAATAAACAGTTTACTGATATCCAACGATCAGCCTCAACCAGGTTTAACCGAACCATTTCTGATATCTGGGACACAGCGAAATGGGACCTGATTTTGGCCATTTTGTCAGACAGTTTTTTTCTGGGCCAACCCAGGAAGCTATTTCAATTTTATTCATATTCCAGTGTCGAACATCCTTTTAAATCCAACCCAATTTGACTCTTGCTCACTGTGGATTATCCCTGTAATACTCTGGCTGTTGCAGTCGCAGGAAGAAATGGATAAAACTCCAGTTGAACTGTGCAGTTCAAAAAAGAGAAAGGTGTATAACGTTACATAGATCTTATTCAGTCTTAAAGTGTATTAATACATTTCATTCGAGCCACTAGAGAGGGCAGGCCGGGCAGAACAGAAAAAAAGCACATGATCATTACCTAGAGGAGAGTTAGTGGAAAACAAACGTTTCACTTCATCACACCGAAGCTGCCTGGCCGCTGGTCTCAGCCAGACCTCATTTCACGTTTCAAAAGTCTGAATGAGAGAGTATGTGTGTGTGTTTTTTTTTTGTGTGTGTGTGTGAGAGAGAAAGCTTGAACCATAGAAAGTTGAATTGTATGCCGGGGGAGAGGAAGAAAAAGAGCTAACCCGATGCCCTCAGAGGAAATGAGCCCGTCAGAATTTGCATGTGTGTGTTATTGGGTGTGTGTGTCCAGTCATGGCCATGGAGGTCAGTTCAGGTCAATTTACGAACTCAGCCATTGGCCTCTCTTAGCTTCTTAACTTCGCTCCCTCTTTTTCTTGTGACTATTGACTATGTCGAAAAAAGACATGATGCGAAAGATGGTTTTGGAACAAGAGTAGAAACGTACAAATAAGTTCTGATGATTGGAAAATCATGGCAACAGAGGAATCAGAGAGGAAGAGGAAGATGTGCTTGCAGCAGCTCAGGCTCTCAGGTTTGATTTGTGAGGCGAGCGCAGAGCGTTTAATCTGAATTCAGTCAGGGTTCTCCAGAGAAGACATTGATCAGAATGAGATGTGAAGCGTGGCGATGGAGAGGATGAATGAGAAGCAGAGACATAGAGGGGGTGGGGGGCGGAGGAGCTGGTAGGGAAGGGGTGAAATGAGGGGGGAGGGGATGCAGGAGATGAAGTGGTGCCTATTATTCATATTCTCCATTAATGCCTCAGAAAAAATAAAATCTTTATTCACTCACTTTTTTCTTGAATAATGAAAGTTATCCCTCAGTGTGTTCAGTCCAGCTCGCTCTGCTTGACTTTTAATGATGCGACATGGGTTTTTCTGACTTTTGAATAATCATTGGTATGGCGCTCTTCTACCAAAGTTCATCTTGGTATCATTAATGTGGTCCTGGAGAGGATTGTTGAGGCTTCTTAGTGCGTTGGAACAAAACGTCCCCCCGGTCCTCTGTTACTTGCTATACAGGGTTCCGCCTTTGAAAGACCCAACGTATGCCTCAGTTCATTTCATTTCATTTGGGAGACTATAAGATGGGGCATGCTGATTCATTTTCATCCAGGCTTTGGGGGTTAAGAAAAAGAAAAGTCTATAGATGGAACATTTTCTTGAGTATAATATGCAGAGAAAATGACACAATGACACAAAAGAATGCAAGAAAAACAATAGTTTCTATAAATAATTGAACATGTCTTATTGGCTAAGAAGAATTGAAGCATGAATGTAGCACTCTTTTGGGTGTCCTTGAACATAATCACTCATTCTTTTATAAGATTAGGTGTCAGGCAAAGAGAAGTTATTTCCTGGTGAATATCGCAGCTGTCTACCGACTTCTTTTGAACCACCTGACACCCAGCATGACTTCATCGCTATTCCGTTATTCCCCAGGTGTCTCCCTACTGTTTGACTCCCTTCTTCGTCTCCTGCACCCCCCATCCTTCTCCCACTGCATATCTCATTGTCTTTTAATGTCTAGGAATTGAAGGATCCATTATCCTGTGCTAGGAAGGAACCAGCAGACCTACATTAAGGAGAGACCCCGTTGACCGGACTCCATCTCTTATTTACATCTGTCCATCAATTCATAATGCATTTGTGTTTTATAATATTGATGCGCAGAGTGCACTTCATTCAGTCACAGTGAGCTTAAAACGATAGATTACAATAGATTCCAATGAAGCCAAAATATTCAGGATTTGTCTGAAAACAAACCCTTCTCAACTTCTTAAATTATAATGTCAAATGGTACACAGTACACACTACATGAACTATTTTTTATTTAAGCAACATTTTAAGTATAAATATTGTAATCAGAACTTTCTGATATGTTATTACATTGTAACATATACTCTCTAAAGGGTAAGGCTTGCATTATTCTGTATTGTGTGCTGTTTAGTTTTAGCCCACTGACACCTGATAAAACCTTGAATTTGTACGATGAGATCAGAAATATTTCGACATTTTTCGACAAGACCAAAAAACGATGCTTTCCGCCTTCCTGCTTCAATTATGGTCACCTATTATGCAAAATCCACTTGTTCATGTCTCTTCTACATCAATATGTGTCCCCTCTTCTTCATGTCTCTTCTACAGCAACAAGTGTCCCCTCTGTGTGAAGAGATTCTGAAAGTTTCAGGAACAAAGATTCTCTCTCTTTTTGTCCTGATCCATTTCTATAAAAACCTGTCTGAAAATGAGCTGATCAGAATTTGGCCACTTTATGATTTCATAACGATGTTTTGGCTTGTGTAACCATTAGCCAATAACCAACCCCCCCCACCTTATCACCTGAATCTCCTAGAGCACCATTGTGTTCTTTTTAACCAAATCTCTCTCAGAGGGGCGTGGGGAGGGGCTCCTTATTTTCATCTAAATTAACAGACAGAGAATCAGTACTTTGGAAACAGGGCTGAAACAGAGGGGATTATGGGTAATGCTGCAATGATCTGTTTGGTGTTTGGAGCCGAACACTTCAGAGACATGTTTTATATATATCTGAGACCTATAATACATTGATGAAAAACCGTATAATAGGGGACTTTAAGTAGCTTTTTGTTTACCTTGACTGTATGTATTGATTTAGAGCAATACCAAAAAAGTAGTGGCACAATTTGCACATGGGCTCAATCCAGACTTTTTACTAGGGAACTGGCAGAATAAAATCCTTATAAAGTCTGTCTAATTTCAGTGCCGCATGTCTCAAAAGGAGAAAAAAATCAGGCACTTAGATCCACACCTTTTTTGTTGGACGGATCAACTGTCATGTAAGACTGAACACTAAGAATGTGGAAGAGAGTATTTATAGATACGCTTTATGATAAACCGTAGGCCACATCCAATCATTTCAATCGGACACATCGCTGTCCGCATTTTATTGAATCTCCCATTATCTCCGCAAGGCTGTGCATACTCTCAGTAGCATAATAGCCAAGGAAAACCAATGAATAGAAGCATTAATCTTCGATTTGACTCTACAGTAATGACGCAGGAAGATTAAATTAAATCCGGTAGTTCTGAATGGAAAAAACATGTCCACTACTTATGCCGGCAAATGTGCTTGACTTATATGAAACAGATAAGATAAGATGGAGCTTTATTTATCGCTGTAGGGAAATTCACATGTTATGGCAGCAACAGAATAAGAAGAAACACAGATAATATACATGGAATATACATTGGGGGGAAAAGAATACGAGTAAAATAACAAATTAAATAAGAATAAACATGTATTTACAGTATAATAGACATAACAAATAACGGGAGTTAAGCAATGATCCACTGAATGTACATATATACAGATATTTGAGTAATTAAGCATTAACAAGGTTACAGCCATGGCAGATCAGCCCATTTGGTGGACTAAGTGGAATAGATGTGAAGTGCATGGTTAGTTAATGTAATCCAGTCTAAATGAGGTCTAATCAGTCCAGAACATTGAGCATGCAGTGACCCTCTTACGGTTCCACAACATTCAAATTGAGTGCGTCTGTGTGTATTTGGGTGTGTGTGTGTGTGTGTGTACCTGTGCGGGGGGGCTCTGCAGAGGGTTGTTCTCCAGCTGTAGAGACTGAAGCTGCTTCATCTTTCTGTAGCAGACGGGGATCGTGGA